CCCTTCAGTTATTAAGGAATAAAAAAAAGTTTCCATGATAAAAGGAAAAATGATAAAAGTGACAACTTTTCATATTTAAGATTCAAATAGTAAAAGTATTTTAAAACTGGAGAATGTTGTAGGGGGTAGGGGGTTAGGGGGCCGGGAGGTCTGATACAGAATAGAATTCCTGATTAAAAGTTCAGTATGTTTCCGTTCAAAACATGTTTTTATTAAATATATTAGAAGGAAGAGAGGGAGGAGGGAGGAGGGGGGGGATCCTTTAATTAAGAAATAGAAGAAAAGTAGGTTAAATGCAAAATAAAAAGTACGGAAAAACATAAAAACCGTTTTCACTTTAAACCATATGTTAAAATTATTGTTTTTTATTTATTTATTTATTATAATTTTGTTTTATAAATTGTACAGTTAACAGTACTCATAGTGTAGTACAGTAAATCTCAGAACAGTACAAGACTAAATTGTACTGTTTTATGTAAAAGGAATAATAAAGATCATAATTCTGGTTCTATATTAACCATATATACATCTTTATGTAATAGGGTGGGGATTACATACCATAATTTCCCCTCCAGTAGGTTAGTAGATCAAGATTTGACTTATTTATGATCTGATTTTCTATAAAATATTTATAAGAATTATGTTGATATCGTTGGAACGCATTTCTAGAAACAGTTCACAAATACTCAGGGTCTTGGAACATGATTTTATTAGCAAGGAAATCGTAAAATCAACCGTTAGGGGAGGATGGGGAAATCAAGGAGAAGAAAGGGGATGTTTTTGGAAGAAAGAGGGCGGGGGGACATAAAGTTTTATGTCCCCCCGCACAGATTCAATACATTGCGGAGGGTTGGTGGTCTTTAATATTTCTGGGAGAATGGGTAATGGGAAAATTAGATAGAATAGATAGATAGATAGATAGATAGATAGATAGATAGATAGATAGATAGATAGATATAGATAGATATAGATAGTTAGTTAGATAGATAGATAGATAGTTAGTTAGATAGATAGAAAGAAAGATAGATAGATAGATAGATAGATAGATAGATAGATAGATAGATAGATAGATATAGATAGATATAGATAGTTAGTTAGTTAGATAGATAGATAGATAGTTAGTTAGATAGATAGATAGATAGATAAAGAGAAAAAACAGTTTAAATAGAATAGACTCTAAGAAGAATAACTAGGATGTTTTTATCCTATCCAAGGTCTGAGGATACTTCTAGGAGTGTGTCCTCGAATACTCAGGAGTGACCTCCAGACGTAAATATACAAATTAATCTCACTCCGAAGGTTAAATTAAAAAGCAATATCAGCTTTCTCCAGGGTCATTTCTGAGTACACAAAACGTCAAGAAAAAAAGTAAAAGTAAAAAGCATAAAGGGAATTTTTGTCAAAGCTAAATTTTTTTATTTGGCAGCTGTACTGGGCAGAATAGTATATTGTACCATTAAATCGTGTTATGCAACTTAGATTCAAGCAGTTGTAATCAAATACCTCAGAGGGTTTAGATGTTGCACATATATGCAGTTATCTATCCATCAATCATTTAAGAGATTCATTTTTTCATAAATTATTAAAAATATTAGTTATAACGTGCAGAATTCATTGCAGGAAATATGATCAATCAATCAATCAGGTCTAGTTTTGTCCAACAAAAAGGGTATTAATTACATAAGAGGAAAATTGCAATGTTTGGAATGCAAATATTTTCTGCAAGGAAATAAATTGCAATTGTTTTTTATTTCTGTCCTCATTTAATTCTTTTTCAAGTGGAAATTAACTTTTTTGTTAGAACAGTTAGATTATTCTATCTATCTATCTATCTATCTATCTATCTATCTGTCTATCTATCTATCTATCTATCTATCTATCTATCTATCTTTTTATCTATCTTTCTATCTATCTTTCTATCCTTCTAACTATTCATTCTGAAGAAAATGTATTTTTTTTTCTTCATATTTTTAGAAAATTTATAATAAGATTGATATCCCCCTAAAGTCGAGGTGCACATTTTTAAATTAACTAATTTAATTTTTTGAAATTCTTTTGATGCTTGAGCGAGATGTCATTTTAAAATGCACTTTTAAGGCAACTTTAAATAATTTATATTTCCCCCTTTATACCCCCTGGTGGTGCAAAGTGCATCATATATCCCCCCCCTCACTTCTCCCTGGAGGAAGGGGGGGGGGTGCCGGAGAATTTCAAAAAAAAATTCAGCTTGCACAATGTGATGCTTTTATACATCAGTTTTTATTAAATTTTTAAAGAAATAAAGTTCGTTGTCAACTAAATATTGTCAATCATACAAAATATACATAAAGAAACCTAAACTTGTATTTTAACTTTATTAGAATCGTCATATTAGGCTTAAACATTAGTTTTACACGTGAATATATATAGAAATTTACAATTATATAAATAAAAAAATAAATATATTGCGCATTATTGTCTAATCAAAACTGATCCGTACAATGTCACGTAAACCCTCTGAAGAAATAAATTCCAAACAATATTTTGTACTTTTTAAAAATGTTTTTAAATTCAATTTTATGGTCAATAAATTCATCTCAACTACCAAGGGAACAAATGTGCAATGTAAAAAAAATGTGCAGAATAAAGTGTAGTTTCCATGAAAGCCAGCTAGGCAAATGAATATTCTTTTAAACAATGCTTAGTTAAACAACCCTTGTTGACAAATCAAATAAAATGTACTTTGATATTGTATTCTTGAGTCAGGCCTTTTGCTTCAAGTATTTGATAATAGGCACTATAAAGCTAAGCAACACTTTTATATATAAAGGAACTGATTGCTCATCACATTATTATTATATTTTTGGAACCTGGTGGTGTAAACCATTATGACAATTTGATCTAGAAGAATTTAAAGTTTAAAATAACAATGGTTTACGATTTTATGTTGTAAAAATAAACAAATATGAAAATTAAAGTTTGAAACGAATAATTGCAGATCCTTTAGATCTTATTTTATATGCAGGTAACCAAATTGAAGGAACTTTTTGATAGATTTCTGAATCTGTGAAACAAAATGTGTGAGTGAGTGAGTGAGTGAGTGAGTGAGTGAGTGAGTGAGTGAGTGAGTGAGTGAGTGAGTGAGTGAGTGAGTGAGTGAGTGAGTGAGTAGAGAGAGACTGCTTACTGCTTTCCAAGGTCACTGTCACAAACAGGGGTGAATACTATTTTTTAAAAATATTTTACAAATTTTTTAGATTTCAATTTGTATAAAAACACGATCTTCATCTTATTTTGCAGAAATTACATTTTAAAGGTTTTCCTCGGTAGTGTTGTTACATAATCTAGCCCAACTGGATTTAAAACTCTCTATACAACACATTTCATGAGAATTAGGATTCATTAAATACAATGAAGTGGAAAAAAGTTACAACCTACATTTTGAAAATATTAAGGTTCATAATAACTTTATGTCAATATCAGATAATGTTGTTTTAAAAAAACAAAGTAATTAAAAATACTGCTACAGTTGCTTCTTGAAACATCAAAATACATTTTTTTTAAATTCTGACTTAACGCCCGGTCATGTGATCACAGCATATTACAGTGATGAAGGTTTACAGAGATTTTTTTTGAGATTGCATAATTATTTAGAAGTTTTTTTGTAGTTACATCAACTTGTTGTATAAATGTTGTATTTTCTCAAAATTAACTGTATTTTCTCTGAATTTTCTATAAATGTTGTATTTTCTCTAAATAAATTGTATTTTTTTCTGAATGTTTTTTCCCTAAATGTTGTATTTTCTCTAGATATTGTATTTTCTCTATGCTTTGAATCTTGTGTGTACTTTTTTTTTGGTTGAAAATTTCTGTAAAATGAGCGAGTGCAAGGTATTGTATTTTCCCTAACTATTGTTTTTTCTCTGAATGTTGTATTTTTTCTAAATCTTGTATTTTCTGTAAATATTGTAATTTCTGTGAATGTTGTACTTACTCTCAATGTTGTATTTTCTCTAAATGTTGTATTCTCCATAAATGTTGTATTTTCTGGAAATGTTGTATTTTCTCTAAATGTTGAATTTTCCCTAAATGTTGTATTTTCTCTAAATATTGTAATTTCTGTGAATGTTGTATTGTCTCTAAATGTTGTATTTTCTCTAAATGTTGTATTTTCTCTAAATGATGTATTTTCTCTAAATGATGTATTTTCTCTAAATATTGTATTTTTTCTAAATCTTATATTTTCTATGAATGTTGTATTTTCTGTAAATGTTGTATTTTCCCTAAATGTTGTATTTTCCCTGAATGTTGTACTTTCTTTAAATGTTGTATTTTCTCTAAATGTTGTATTTTCTCAAAATGTTGTATTTTCCCTAAATGTTGTATTTTCTCAAAATGTTGTACTTTCTCTAAATGTTGTATTTTCTCTAAATGTTGTATTTTCTCTAAATGTTGTATTTTCTCTAAATATTGTATTTTCTGTAAATGTTGTATTTTCTGTGGAATTTTTTTGTTACAAAATTCTGTTGTATGAGTGAGTGCAAGGTGAGTAAGTCCTCAAGGTAAAGAAACGACCCTGGATAGTGAATAACGGTAGAAAATACATAAATTACATTTAGGCCTAGATCCTTACATAGTACATAGATCTAGATGTATAATAATACAGAGATCTAGATAATGTATAGAATATATATAAGCCTAGATTCATAAATAATACATAGAATACATAGGTCTCAAACAATACGTAATACATAGAATACATAGAATACATCCAGATCCATACATAACACATAGATATAGAATACATGAAACATAGACCTATAGAAAATTATATCCTCATACATAGATCTAGATACATAATAGTACATAAGCATAAAACATTTAAAATACATAGGCCAGAATACATACATACAAATATATACAAAGCCAAAAAATACATAACGCATAGAAATGAGTTAGAAATATTCTAAGAATTTAAAAAAAAAAATGGCGAAAATATGATTTAAAAAAGGATTTCCTACCTTGCAGCCTTCACAAGAATGAACTCCGTAATGAAAACCTGAAGCTTTATCCCCACACACTCGGCACAGTACACAGTCATTCCCATCAAACTCTACAAATATAAATACATACATTAATAGTGCATATTATTCAAAATATACTTTTTACTTAATAGGACTAGTGTAGGTTGATAATGTGATAAAAGGCATGATTAAAGTAATTTTGTTAATAAAACGAAAATTATCTATTTATAAAACTAGATTTAAACATATTATTTTTAGAGAAAAATGTTTGAAGTTAAAAGGAGACGGTTTAGAATTAGAGAAGAAGGAGGGAATGGGAGCNCAATGTTAAAATTAATAAAACTCAAATTTTTTTTGAAATGTCTTCTTCCTACATGTAGATTTTAATCACGTAAGTGAAAAGTAAATGGTTTTTAAAGATTTGCTAGTTTTTTTCCACAAACCAAAATTTTCTGATCCCTATATCTTTGCAACCTGCTTTTTTAAACCTGTGATATTTCAAACTTAGATTGTTTGATCTAACAGAATTCATGGTTTAAAATATCCGAGGTCTAAGACATTGGGTTTCAAAGATTTAGAGTTTATAAAATCACAGTCTGTGGCAAAGACTTAATTCCTTTAAAGTTTATATAGTATAAAAAAATTCTAAGAGTTTATTATAAGTGTTTAACATTATTGGGTATAAATGAGCACATGGCGTTGAATATATGAATAAACTGAACTATTCATCTGTAAGATAGGTTAAACCCAATTCATCCCAATATGTCAGAATTGACAAAAAGTCTATAAAGCATCCAGTCCTGTGGTGAAGCCTATTGTTATAAAACCTAGTTGAGTAAAAAAGTAACAATACAAGTTTTAGGGGAATATTTTTAATTCAACTTGTAATTTGTAATTTTAGTTTTTTAAAATAGTTTTCAGATTTAATGAATTTTGAAATATTTGGGCCTTGATTTCTTAATCCAGATTTTTTGTCAGTAAACAGCAAATATTAATCTTTTAAGTTAATTTTACATTCAGTGTTAGAATCCGGCAATTTTTTGTGTTTGAACCACCCTATACCCTATACACCACACAACTAGTTCGAACTGCACTAGTCGAGTAGACTAAAATATCGATCTAAACGAGATGAAATGTCTGACACACTGACACAAAATAAAATCGATAATATTCATAATAAGCGGAATAAGGGTTAAAACATGTGTGTAGACAAAATTGAATTTGTTTTTTTCCTGAAGTTTTTTCTTTCTTTGCATCCACTGGTCTCTTAAATCTCACGTTGTATTCTATGCCTCCCTCCTCCCCCTTCATACAAGGACAATTTCCCTAAAATTCTTTTAAACCAACACCCCCCCCCTCGCCCACTTAGATCCAGACTGATCTGAAAAGATGCATTAATTTTTAAGATTCGGACGACTAGATTTTACCGCGCTAACTTTTTTCCTACTTTTAATAACTTTTTAAACTTTACCATATTTCTTTTTAGTTTTAGTTCTTAAAAAATTAATTGGCAAAATTCTCATCGATATTTTTGTGAGAGTTGTGCCCCTCTTGCTCTTTAAATAATCTGAAAACCCTATTTGGATTATTTCCATTTTTGTGTAGTTTCATTGAGACCCTGAATTATATTATCTATATAATATAAAGTAATAATTTCTGTTATTTTTGTAGGTCCGATCATAACACATGAACCCCTAGTCCGATTTGCTCCAAATGTTTGTTGGGTAACTTGGTAGAATCCCGGAAATTGCTTTTTTAGGAAAAAATTAGTTTCCAGACAAAGCTGTGTTCCTAAGCTAGTCATTTATACTTTATAGTTTTTTAGCGTCTCAGATGCATTAAAATAATTGCACTAATCTTTTTCATCTCATTTTTCTGTATCGAATATCCAGATTAGATATTTTTAAATGATAATACAGTTGCTTTTTTCATGATAACTTGTTTAGATAGATATTTTAGAGGATACAAAGTTACAAAGTCAATAATGTTTTTTAATTTTTTTGTTGTTTTAAAGATTGCCTTATTTTCTTTAACCTCACACTTTCTGAAGAAATATTAAAGTTCAGATCAGAATTCAGAATTAATACATTGTAATAATGAAGCTAAAAATGACGCATCAAATGTTGTTCGTAAAAAATAAGAACTTTGACGCAAAAATTTGATTTGTTATTGGTTAAACTCTCGAGGATTTCATACCAAGAAAACATAACAACTAAACTTTTTCATTTGGGTCATTTTTACGGAATTTTGGGATTTAGATATACCCAAAATGAAGAAAACGAAAAATGTTTTTGAGCTACAATGAATTCATTTTTATTATGATTAAAGTATTTTCTACTATTTTAAAATGATCCCAACTAGTTCAAAATGATCCCAACTAGTTCAAAATGATCCCAACTAGTTCAAAATGATTTCAACTAAACATGTGATGTAAATCATATTTTTCCTCCAATCGATAAATCTTCATATGTTTAAAAGTTTATATAATTGTCTTAACGGGACTGTTCCTTATTTGTACTGAATGAATAGATGGTCTTGACTGTGTTTACCTATGACAGTTCTGTTTGACCCTCCCTCCACCCTCTCCCCCGCCCCAGGCAGACCACCCTCCGATCCACCCTCACCAGCCAAGATCTCTGTCTCAACCATCTCCTCCTTGATGTTGTTGTTCTGCCTGTTCTCCTCTTCTAGGTTCATCTCAAACCTTGAACAGGATCCAGACAGGTTTAGAGGCAGGGGGAGTGAGTTCTGACGACCAAACTCTACTCGTCTTTGCTCCCTGAGCGAGAGGTATTCGTCAGGTAAAGACTCTCGTCTCCGGGGTACAACAGGAGCTAGGGGAGAGTTTTGAAGCAAGTTTTCAACTCCAGGGTAGTAATTAAATGGTTCAAGTTTAACACAGTCTTGGTCTCTCTCCGTCTTGACCCGGACGGGTTTATTTTCTCCGGAGAACCTGTTTGCTCGTTCTCTAGGAAGACCATTTACTCCGGGTAGGTAAGGTCTAGAAAATACTCCGTCCTGTTGGGACGATCCTTGTCTATTCTCTTCCATTCTTATTCATATAGTTCATTAAACCATTCTCGAAAAATCAAAAAAAAGATTCCGACATCTATTGAACTGGTTTCCTAGTTTCTATTATTGTGTGTTTTTCAATATGATTAATTTAAAATAAATTCTTGAATATCTTCACAATTCACTTAAAAATCACTGTCTATCAAAATAAATTGGACTGTGACAGCTACATAAACTGTTTCCTTTCATGGTCCCAAGTTATATGATAGAGGAAAACGAACTGTCACTCACTCTTATTCAAAAATGGTTCGAGATGGAATAATTCTAAGTTTAAGAAGAATAGACAAGTCTTGCAACAATATGAAATATTCAAAATTTTCACTAATTAACACTTGATTGTACACCGGTATATGCAGTACTGTACACGACTAGAACTGAACCAGCATGACAGTGTGTCCTGTATAAGAATTCACCAGTATATCCTAGGACCCGGAGCCGGGACTTGAACCTCCTCCTATACCGGAGTTCAGGCTCAGACTGAACTTGATAATCAGACTCCGCTGCTTTCACGGTCACAAAGAAATACATGAGCTCTCTCCTAATCTCACCTACACCCTGCAGACATTTAAAAACATGCGGCTCATCTTTTAATCCGGACATATGCTGGTACAGGTGGCAGAAGGCGTGGTTTAGACGCTCCACCCCTTACTGTCTGAATATTCTCCCCTTGTTTCCAACCCGTCTGGGGGAAAAGCTAGGATGGTGTAGGGGAATTCAAACCATTCTCCACCCTTGAGGGTTGAGGGTTGGGTGGAGAGGGGGGGGGAGGGAGGAGAGGAGAGGGGGTTGCGTCAATACTTCTGTCTGAGTTTAGATAAAGGGATTAGGGTTTGGTAGGTTAGTATGTCTCTTCTCCCTTACACACTGACATAATAAACATGTCCTTTAACAATTGGACAGACATAGACAGGTGAACACAATTTGTAAGGGAGGTATTGGACCATTTAGTTTGTACAGAAATAGTCTGTACATAACTGTACATAGTTTGGCAATACTAATCTAATAACTATCAGCGTTACGTCTGACATCACACCTTGGCTTCCAATCGCCCTCTCTGCCTGGGCCTGTCGTACCGGCTTGACTGGACCTGCCTGACTGGACCTATCGTACCGGCCTGCCTGATTGGGCCTACCCTACCGGCCTGCCTGGGCCTCTTCTTTAGACTGCAACGGAGACTGACCTTGAGCGTTTGTGTACTGCATGGAGGATTGGAGAGGGGGGGGATTGCAAAAAGGGGAAGGGGTGCAAAAAATAAATGCAAAAAGGGGTGATATGTGGGAAATGGGAAAATAAATGATATTCTAAAAGTTAAGATCCAGATATTTACAAGGAAAATGATGCAAAAACATAATATACCGTTTAATTTTAATTCTTATTTCTATAATGAAATTTTCAAGTTTTTTTTTATAATCTTGCAGTTTTGAGAATTGAACTTTACTTTAGAAACAGAACTAAAAATAACAAATCTCCATTTTATCGAATTTTAAAAGTAATTTATCTTCTAACTTCAGGTACTGGATGTACTTTTTTCCAACTAAAACTTATTTCGCTCAGATTTCCGAATACTTCATGGAATGCATTCTCATGTTTTTTGGTTTCTTTGTACAGCATAAATATTTTTTATACAATTTATCATTGATTATTCCTGGTTTCCTGCTAATTCTCTGGATTTGTTTTAAAAAATTCCTTCATTTAGAAAAACCCAAATATTAAAAAAACTTGCTAAAACAAAAAAAAGATGTATTTGCACATTGCGCATTCTTAAAATTACAAAACACCCAAAACGTTTATTAAAAAAACTTAATTTTATTGATACGGACATTATTTCATTTTTACTACGTTTTGTTTCATGCTTTAAAATGACAGACGATTAAAACAAAAACTGAATTTATTCTAATAACTTAAACCTAGACATTTTAAGCTCTATTCAGTTTGACGTGAAGCAGATAGTTTCTGTATTTTACTATTCACTGGAACATTTATCAAGGGATTTATGCAATGATCAGTTTTGTTTATTCTTTTTCTTTATGACGCATAGAGTATTCACTACATTGCGCATTTACACAGTATAGTACCGTTAATTTGTTGTGTGTTTGATTTTGAATTAAGTATTTATGCGTACACGCACCCAGTATGTAGGCTGTTCAGACATTTTTACATCTGTTATCAGAAGGTCATAAGTTTGGAAACCTCTTGTATGTGCACAGATCATTTATATTTTTTTAGCACAATATCTTAAAATTATTTTTAAATTATAGCGTTAATAAAAATTCGAATTAATAAAAACGATTCAAACTATTTATTTCTAATTGTTTAGGACACAATGTGAGTGCAGGTATAATAATACAGGTTTACGATCTTAAAGGGAGTGTTTGCGAAAAATGAAAGGGGGAATAGGCTTACGTCGAAAAATATTCGATGGTGATTACTACTATTCTTACTTCTATCTGTTGCGTCTATAAGAAGAAAATTGTTAAAAACAGCATATACCGAAGAACGTAGCGTCCATACAAATTCAGAAAGTTGCAATATACGACTCGGTCGGAAAAAATCAATTTAATTCCAAACAAATCATTCAGTTATTGCAAGTTTGCAACCTATAATAATCGATTCGAGCCATTCGTAAATATTTGATATTTTATAATATTTTATTTTTATTTTTTATGATCCGAGAGTTACTTTTAAAAACATTCATTCCTGTTTCGATGATTTTTGAAATGAAGACGACATTTTTATATTTTCCGTGAAAACAAGTTGTAAGTGAAATATTAATTTAAAAAAAAATAAAATAAAAATATATGAAATATCAACTATATACGAATGCGTCGAATCGATTATTATAAGTTGTAATACCTGAATGATTTGTTTGGAATTAAATTGATCCGAGTCTATTATTGCAACTTTCTGAATTTGTTTGGACACTATGTTCTCCGGTATGAGTCGTTTTTAACAATTTTCTCCTTATAGACGCAACAGATAGAAGTAATATTATAGCAATCACCATCGAATATTTTTCGACGTAAGCCTATACCCCTTTCTTTTTTCGCAAACACTCCCTTTAATATTATCAATTTGTTAAGAGATAAACGCACCTAATAGGTATATCAAAATAATAACTTTATAATAATGTCTAAATTTTACATCTTCGAAAATAGTTTTTAAACCTAATAAAAGATAGGTAAGAAAATACTAGAATCAAAACTCTAGAAAAATTAATTTTTAAAAAACTTTTTGAATATATTTTTATGTTCTTCCATTCTGATTGAGGTTGTTGGACCAGTTTCTAATTTATTCAAAATTTGACGATGAAAGAAAGGCCTGAATTTGGCTTGAATCCAATCACTACGTCTTTGTATTTTTAAAATCTATTCAATTTAAGGCCTAAAATGGAAAACAATGTTTATAGGTTAAAAATTCAGGCCTAAATTATTAATAAAGAACTTTGAAGATAAGGTTGATTTAAGAATAATAAAAAGTAATTTCCTCCATCCTTACCCCCTCCCCCTGCATTCTACATTAAAAAGTGTGTTGTATTATTAAAAATATAATATATGGCAAATAGTAAAGGAATTGAGTTTTTGCCAAAAACTAAAATCTTCTGATTCCAATATCTTTACAATCTTTTGATGCAAACCTTTGATATTTCAAACTTAGATTATTTTATCTATATGTATTAATAGTTTGAAATATCTAAGGTCTACGACATTGGGTTACAAAGATATAGAGATTAGAAAATCAGACTTTCTGGCAAAAACTCACTCCTTTGCCTCTTAAAATTGTTTTATTTTGAAAACAATAATTCATGATGATACTAAATTCCAAAAATCAAATACAAAATTCCATTTTTTGTTCAAATAAATTAAACCACTAACTAAAACTTTTTATTTAGAATTGACTTTAAACTTTAAACTTGAATTTCGAGTCAATATTTGATCTTGATACTGTTCTTATCAAGCCTGTACTGCATTTAGAACAGGGATGTATATTTCTAGCTATTTTTTATTTTTAAGGAAAATTTTTCTTTGATTCTTAATAAAAAAAAGTTGCGGAATTTAATTTTTCTCAATTATAAAAGTATTCTCCTGTTTTTTCGAAAACGGTTAAATCGATCCAATATTTTAGTATTCAAAAGTCACACCCATAAACAGTCAGATATAAAGAAGGACTGGTTTTATTTTAGATCTGAAAGATGCACGGAGATTTAAGCCGTTGGGGCTAAAAATATAACACAAATCAACATATATATCTATTCTAATGATGGATAATGGTTATAAGGGAAACCGAGGTGTTAAACGTGAGCAATATGTGTTGAGCAAAAATATTCGAAATTATTTATAAAAAATGCTCGCAACCTCGAACCCTAATTCCCTTCCATTCATGTATTATACTAAACTTCTCATAAAAATACAATAAAACTACAATATACGAATGTATACAAATGGAACAAGGGAGGATGGGGAGTAAGAAAGCGTAATAAAATAAGAGAAACAGAAGGTGTAAGAATAATAAAAAGTAATTGTTTTCATTATTATTATTATTATTATTATTCCTATACATAACGTTTTTCACATTATTCTTATCATCATTTAAAATGTAAATTTTGGGGATTTATGAATAAATTAATTCTGCAGAATTGTTTTCTATGAAAAGTATCCAGAATATTGATAAGAAAAAGTAGAATAAATGAAAGAGAAACGATGCAGTCTCGGAGACCCAGACTCTGTTCTTGAACGGAGATTACACAACTCTTTGATACTTCTTGAACGGAGACGAGTCCAGGCAGTCTGGAGCGGAGCCTGGGGGGAATGACCCATATGTTCTATCCATAAGTTCAAGGAGAAACGACTCACAAAACATCGGCGACCTAAAAATCGCCGATTTATCATTACGTTGAAATTTATTTAACATTAAATAAACATATCAAAACCTTCTAATTTATCTGCTGATAATCGGCGGCCGAATTTAATTTCTCTGGTTTAAATGGCAACGAAGACGGTACTGGGCGGGTGATGGAATGGAGAGCTGGGTAGGGTTCAGGCCCGTCTTCAGCAGCAGAGGGGTGATGCTTGGAGAGTAGGCAAATTCAAGCAACGGAGGGAGGAGGGGTAGTCAAGGGAAGGAGGGGGGGGGGGATAGATATAGAGTTAGACAGGTTGGAAAATAAGAATTTATAGAAAGGTTTATGTAATAATCTTCGTCTGTTCATTTTTAAATATATTTCTTTTGAAATGAAGCAAGCTTTACACTAATAAAAACAAACTGATTTTATGGAATATGAATTTATTAAAATATAAATAAAAATCATATTAAGGTTATTTAATTTTTAATATCCATGTTGTTTTGAGTTAATTATGTTAAAAGTAACTAAATAAAACTGTCAACCATTTATTACTTGAGTTTAACAGTATTTAAAACACTCTTAGTTTCAATCGTATTTCTATCTTTCTTTCTTTCTGTCTTGCACCGACCGTGTGGTCTCTATGGGTCAGTAGTTACCAAAGACAAAAGGGGGTTTATGTAAGGATAGGGTTAAACCTTTTGTTTGAAATGACTACATTAAAATACAATTCTAACATTTTTTCTGCTTAAAAATGTTTACAGATATTCAATTCCCCCCTTTCTCTTACGTCTGCCTGACAGGCCTAAAATTGAGGCCTAACCCTACTCTGGACAATATTGGCCTCAGCCTTGCTAGGCCTAAAGGCCTCGATTCTATTCAAGGTTAAAACTAGAAGTCTCAAAGGAAAGTGCAAAGAAAATGTCAAGTTCAAAATTCCGAGAGTAAAAACTAGGCCTGATTATTCAGTACAAGCAGTAGACCTCAATAATAGGCATATTAGGAAACAGCTTACGAACAAGAAAACAAAAAAAATAGAAAATTTGAGAACTAAAAACCAGAGAACTAGAGAACCAGAGAACTAGAGAACCAGAAAACTAGAGAACCAGAAAATTAGAGAACCAGAGAACCAGAGAACCAGAGAACCAGAGAACCAGAGAACTAGAGAACCAGAGAACTAGAGAACCAGAGAACCAGAGAACCAGAGAACTAGAGAACCAGAGAACTAGAGAACCAGAGAACTAGAGAACCAGAGAACTAGAGAACCAGAGAACTAGAGAACCAGAGAACTAGAAAAGTATAGAACTAGAGAACTAGAGAACTAGAGAACTAGAGAACTAGCGAAC